GTCCTTTTCGGTCTGTCGGTCTCGGACCTGTGCTGCCTGTTTTGCCTCTTGTGGTTCGGGATCTGTAAAAATCCTCTGGTCACGGAGGCTTTCCGTTTCGGCCAAGGGCTGTGCTACCTGACGGGCGGTTGGACCCGCGGTTATTTTTCCCGCGTGACCGGATGCATCACGGCCTACGCTGCCGCCGAACGCTGCGCGTGCATCACGTTTCCCTTGACCTACAGACGTCTGCTCAGCCCCGCCAGGACGTGCCTCGTCGTCAGCCTCATCTACCTGGTCAACGCGTTGCTGGTCGTCCTCGAATACAACAAGGCTTACATCGGCTGGACCTTCAATCCGCTGGTCAACAGGAGCGTCATCGATCTGCACGTGACGATCGAATGGAAGCACATGGACGCGGTGGCCTACGTCATGAACGCCGTCTTCACTTTTCTCATTTTTGTGACGGTCATTCTTTTCACGGCGGTCCTCGCGTTCAACCTGCGGAGAACGTCAAAATGGCGGAGGGCTGCTACGTCGGGTCAATGTCGTTCGTCGAGCGTATCCGGTCGAGACACGAGGACCACGAAACTGATATCGCTGATCGCTGCTTTGTTGATTCTCAGCAATGCCCCCGGAGTGGCCATAGACATCACAACGTTCGTGGTCCCTGAATTCAGCGTAGGGGGGAAGTATTTTAATTATCAGCTTGTCGCGTGGACTTTCGGGAATTTGCTGGAGTCGGCGAACTCGGGGTTCACCATTTTCATCTACTACACCATGAGCAGCAAATACAGGAGACTGTTTGATCAGATCTTCTGCGACAGTTAAGTCAAAGCTCTTGACAATGAGGAAAGCAGTGTAAATTAAACTCTTTTTTTTAAAAAAAACAAATATTTATTATATTGACGAACAAATAAATGAATGTAACATTTACAAACTGAAACGAAAAAGACATTGCAGTTTGATTTTATATCGAACTTGTAAGCACCATTCTGGAGGTGTCCAATTTTTTTTAAGCGCCGTACTGATGTTTCGAACTTTTAGCGTCAGGTCACATGATCAAATTATCCTTCAAGCGTGAACGTGAAAAACAATTGATTTATAAACCCACACATAACAATAGTGGCGTTCATACATACACACATACAATAGTGGCGTTCATACATACACACATACAATAGTGGCGTTCATACATACACACATAACAATAGTGGCGTTCATACATACACACATACAATAGTGGCGTTCATACATACACACATAACAATAGTGGCGTTCATACATACACACATAACAATAGTGGCGTTCATACATACATTGCATCAAAAGCTGGAAGGAAAATTTGATCGTGTGAACTAACGCCTAAACACAATTCTTTCTCCAATTAACTTTTGTAGGTCTACTCCATTATGCAACCATAGTTTATTCCCATTAAACGTTGTTGTTTTTTTTTAAACTGAACCAATTCGCTTTACATTGATAATGGTGGCGAAATTTTTCTTTAAAGTGGAGTTGTTGATTTTTTTTTTTTTTTCAGACTGAGCTGTTTTTTTGCTGTTGTTTTTTTCTCCTCCTAGTGAGGATTATTTTGCGTCTCTCTTCAACTTACTGAGCTAGAAAACAAACTGACATTTGCTTAGTTTATATCACTTCATCAACAATATTTAGTTAAGTATCAAAAGTAAGAAAAAGAAGTGAAAAATCTGGGGAAAGTATGTTATTGTTCGAAATGGAGAATAAGGAATTATTGCGCCTTTTGTTTTCAATAGGTTTAAATGACGTCAGTGCGATCAATAAATTTTGAAAGAAGATGTCCCGAGCTGTGTTAAAACTTTTGATCGTGATGGAAATCTCCACAAACGTCAGGAAATAGCATGTGTGAATGTTACATAATATTGCCGTGCAGTGTCTTTTTATAATTATATTCAGTATATTTATAATTATATTTGTCTTTTTTAATGTTACTTGGATAATTTAGTTCAACTTCTTTCGATAGATCGAAACAACTTATTAATTTATTCAACTATTTGAAAACTATAAATAAAATGCGAAATTAAGTTGACTTTTGTTACTTTTGATACCGTCAACCTGTTATGTTGTCGCTGTTCTTATTGCTTTAAATACAAGTAATGCAGGAGCCAAACCTTTTCATTGAATCTGCAGGAGCCAATCATTTTCTTTGAATCTGCTAGAGCCAATCATTTTCTTTGAATCTGCTGGGGCCAATCATTTTCTTTGAATCTGGTTGAGCGAATCATTTTATTTGAATCTGCTGAAGCCAATCATTTTCTTTGAATTTGCTGGAGCGAATCACTTTCTTTGAATCTGCTGGAGTCATTCATTTTCTTTGAATTTAAGAGTATATCTTAAAGAGCCGGATAAAAATAATAAAAGGGGTATGGGGCGCTAAACCAACAGTACAGACGCTTTTTTTGTGCTTCAAGGACTTGTAAAAAGAAGACATCAGTATAAACGAACGGCAGTGATGGCATTGTGGGTGAACCCCCCCCCCCTGGCAAACTGCGTTTGGATAGGGTGTTGTGTGGAAAACGCGAACATCACATGGCTTATTGGTAGTCTCTGTTGTGTCTCTGTTAAAGGGTGAGAGGCTTATGAGCACCATTCAACGCTTACCAGTGACAAGTGCAGATGAGAGTGCCCCCCCCCCTCTAGGATGGGCTCACTGTTCAACACACACACATTTGTGGAAATAAATGTTACACCAGTAGTGGCCAACCCACGGTCCACCATGTTAAATATTAAGGAAAGCGAAAATTGATTGATCACAATGAGTTTATTCGCTCTTAATTCATTTGACAAAGAAATCGATTTAAAAAAAAAATAAGTGAGTGAAAATATTTAATATCACAATAAACTTTTATTAATTTTTAAAAAAATCAGTTTTTTTTTTTTTAATTAGCATTTCATGATGTCCATTATTTACAAGTAGCTAAACACTTTTATACTCCATTCAGTTAGTGGGCGTTTGTTTTAATATAAGATGATGCCCGTGAACAATTTACATCGTTATCGAAGTGGTCCACGAAGCCTTTTGGGTTGGCCACCCCTTGTGCCACACAATTGATCGTGCTACGAAAACGGGCTTCGGGTACCACGATTAAGATTGGAAAGTGTAAAAGTATAAGTGTACCACGAATTAATGCAGTGGTCGGCAAATCGAGGCTCTTTGGCGACCTCAGTGCGACTCGGCAAGCCGGCCACAAATCGGGTTCGACTCCGAAAAACATGGACCTTGACAGTATTGACAGGTTCTTGAAAATAAATTTGGCTCTCAATTTTTTTTGTTATTCGCCCTGCTGCTAATTTTTGGCTCTTTTTACTTATGAGTTTTCCGACCACTGGTCCAGGGTAACCTCCCAAAAGTGCGCCCTTCCCCAAAACATCATTTAGATATATATAATTTATATATATATATAGATAATATATATATATCAACTTAAACAGTGATGCCTCGCCGAACCTTTTGTCTGACCAAAATATAATTTGGTGTGAGTGGTGGCAGTGGTGGGAGTAATGTTGGCTGTTTGCATAACTACTAGTTGGCTAATCGAATTATTCCTAAACTTTTACAGACACAACTTAATATAAGACGAACAAAGTTGATATTTTTCCCCGGCCCCGACTAGATCTAATAATAGCACAGTAATTAATTAGAATAATAAAGACAATGTCTATACTTTTTAATATTTAATTATCTACTTAAATATAATTTTAATTTATTACTAATTCAGTATAACATATTAAATATATTCAGATATTTGATATTAAGAATTTAGCTCTAGTAGACCACTAAATTTAACCGAAGTTAAATTCAAAATAGTATGTGCTTAATTATTTATTTATTCTTATATCACATCATCCTCAGTTTACCCCCGCCCCCCCCCCCCAACCCCAAGACTTTTTTTAAAGTATACATTTTATACATATATTGTTTTGTTTTAAGTTTACTAATTTGGGTTTTATAATAATTTAACCCAAGTTAAATTCAAAATAGTATGTGCTTAATTATTTATTTATTCTTATATCCCATCATCCTCAGTTTACCCCCGCCCCCCCCCCCCCAACCCCAAGACTTTTTTTAAAGTATACATTTTATACATATATTGTTTTGTTTTAAGTTTACTAATTTGGGTTTTATAATAATTCTATATTTAGTCACTATCTGATTTCCCCATAACAAGGAGCTCATCTGCCAGGCAGCTGAGGGTTGTAAATAATAGTGCTATGGAAAATATAGTATAATGTAGGCTGTATAATTTTTAGGCTGTATATTATATATTTCTATCAAAAATGTGAATTTCTTACGCTGATATCGATTAGTGTGTGAACCAATAACAGTGAACAGTTGTGTATTAAGTGGAAAACAAAATTATTGCCGGGCTACCATGAAGAAGTTGACGAATGAAGTTATTAATTAATAGTAATAGTAGTAGTAGGAATGAAATTTCACTCTATTTTAAAAAAAATAAATGTTTAAATAATGTAAAAACTATAAGTTAAAAGGCCCTTCTACTTTTAGGTCTACTTAAATTATTTGAACTGACGTCTTCATGCACTATTCTCTGTGTAATAACTTAATTTGAATCTAATTAAAATTATAGTAGTGGGGCCTCTTTCTTAAAATACCAAAAAAAAAACTGGTATTATTAAAGTGCCTACTAAGTAGGCCTACTAATTCAGCACTTGCAGTGTCACTGTGTGGTTTTAAATTTAGACTACACAGTTTGCACACAATCAAAGTAGATATAGGCCTAATTATTTATAATTTTATCACGAGGAAGGGATATGACAAATTCAAAGAATTAATTCAAACAAAGTAAAAAATTTTGTGCAAAGTGCTGGTTTCAGTTGTCCAGATTCAGTTTCTAAGACTTCATTTGATGTTGTTGGTTTTGGATGTTTGGCAATGAAAAAAAATGTTATGGCCTAGGCCTCGATAGAATTTGTATCTGCAGTCATTGACAATGAGATTTGCAGTGTAAATAGTAGCTTATAGTTAGAGGATAGGAGTGAATCTTCAAGAATGGCAGACAAATGTAGCAGCAGTAGTGGGAGTGAGAATGGAGATTCAAGAAATTCTAGTTTATCTAGTGCCAGTGAAGAAGAACGCCTGCGGCGCCTTTTTAAGAGTTGTGATGCAGATGGAGATGGCTATTTAGATGGGTACGTGCAAAGTAGACTTAGTAGATAATGTCCTTTTTCTAAAGAATTTCTGAGTTGACCAAGATATAGATAGCAAAATAATTAAATATGGTGTCTCATGATTTTTTCCAGGATCAGGAAACCTTTTTAGCTATCACGCTAAAATAGATATGCTTACACAGACGTTATCCTCTTGATTTGAAACGAATAAAATCATAGACTATTAATATTCAAAATAATTTATCAAAATAATTTTATTGAAGGAAACAGTTACAAGCATTAAGATTATAAAGTGAATGTCATAAAATAAATTAATAAAACTCTAAAAAAAATTTAGTGACGTAAAATTATATGCGACCAGGCCACTATCATAACATTGGCAAGACAAGAAATTTGTTTATGCTAGCTGTCAACTGCTTAGCCACTACTAATCACAAGTTATATACAATTCTCTACACAATACACATGCCATATGCAATGTTATCAGAACAAACATTTAGTTACGTCTTAGAAAGGAACATTATTTTTATATAAGTTTATTGAGCTCTTATTATCTCCAAGAAGTTTTTCCCCATTTGGAGTACTTTAACCTTTTTTGGAAGTATAATTCAATCAATAAATCACCATACAAAATTTAAATTTAAAGGCGAAACAAGATTAATAATGAATTCAGTCATTTGTTTGAAAGAAAAAATATTATGACACCCTTAAAAATGTTTATAAGGTTTGGATTTCCATTACTGCTAAATAGGAAACAAAAATCTCGTATGTTTTTTTAAGTAGCGAGACAATCCATAAATAAAGATTAATAATTAATTGCTGCAAGCAGAATGGTCATTGGAAGAACTCTGTGAAATTAAATGTGAATAACTTAAATTTCATAAAATTATTTTTGGCTTTCAGCCAAAGATGAAGTAGTGTACATTTTTTGTGTTGTGGGAATTTTAAGAAACAAGCAATTTCATTTAATTAAAATCCTTAATTATAGAGGATTATAAAAAAAAATTAAAAACTATTATATTAAAATTATTTTAAATGCAAAATATTTTCACATTAGTCAGAAAGCTATTATTGTTACTTTCTATGACTATAGATGATCAAATTTAGAATAAAATATATTTGCATTTACAGAGAAGACCTTACATTCATGTGCCGTATGTTGAACATGGCCGATTCTGTGGATGAGGTTCGATTGCAGCTTGGTCTCACTGACAACACCAAAATATCATTTGATGACTTTCTCCGGTGCCGCACTCGAGTTATGCTGGAATCCTCCATTCAACACCCTCAACATATGGTGTTCCACAGTATGGCGACAGCGCAGTCGCCAGCCATGATGTCAGGAGAAGACACAGGCATCGAGTCTGATACCAGTGGCATGGTGGGAAACATGTCATCAAACAAGCTGACATCCTGGCCCACTCTTAGCAGTGACAGTCTAGGTAAATGAATTTACAATATACATCTTTTCTAGTGTGAATGAAATATCTTGATTGTGGCTTAACTAGAAGTAGGATTTGAAAATAACAACAAACTAGATCTTCTTTTTTATTAATGTAAAGTAAGATCCAAAGTTTAATGAAGAGAGTGGTGATTTAGTAGAGAACAAACAAAGCAAGAATCACTTGAGATAAAAGTCCTTCTTCAGCATGTAAAATAGAACAAAATATTCATATGCCTTCTCCTTTGCCTTATTTGAATCTAGTGGTGCACTGACCATTGACAAAATCTATTCAAATTTATCTTTCATCTGAGCCATTTTTTCCAGATCATTCCACGTCTGTTTCTATCGCTCTCTCTGTGTGTTCCAACTGATGCAGATGTCTACCCACCCTAAAATGTGTTAAAATTTAAATTTTTCTAAAACCTGCTTTTATCTCTGTCAGGTGCGCTGTCCTATAACAAACCAGAGAGTGCTGACTATGACAGTGGGGCCAGGGATCTGAGTCCTGAGCCTGTCACAATGAGTTTGACTCAGCTGTTAGAAACACATGACCCACACACATACCAGCAGCTGAGATCCTCAGGGGCAGATTCCCTTCTAGAGATAGCAAACAGGGTGAGTACATTTCATAGATATGGATCAGATATTAGTCCAATTAGATAGAGTCTGGATATTCCAGATGTAAGTCTATTCAGGTCAAGACTCTCTTTGGGATGCCTATTGGGCTTGACTCAAGGCATTACACAATTTCAGACTGCAGATAAAACAGAAACATGAGACAAATGGTCAGTGCTGTGTCAATTAGCCAACAGAAAAATTAACCTGTTTGGATATTTGGTCAAAATGCCTGTCAGTACACCTGCATGGAAGCCTACAAAAGCAGACACTCCAGTTTCAGGACCAATTGAAGACCATCCCTAACAATGGTGGATTTGTCGTGTTAAAGGACACACTGAACGTTTACATCATGAACCTTCAGCGAGCCTGGCACCTCACAACAGGTCGCCAATGGCACCTTCCTGCGATACCTCACCGCTAGAATCGAACAGAAGAAGATAAAACACAGAACAATAATAAAGACGCATTGACATTGTCTATGTCATCCAAATAGAACAAAATGCGACTGTAGAGTCAGTGCCATAAAGTCAATGTTTTATTTTACAGTGTAATCAAGCTGAGGTAGATTATCTACCAAAACTAGCAGTACTGAAGCTTCTGCATTTTGAGTGCCTACACGCATTTGTCATGTGACCATACATAGAACTGAAAAGGATTATATTTTTGACAGTTGTTTTGGAAATGGGACTCTTTCAATGGTGGAAAAAGTACTCATGGTTGAGCTATATTTTTTGCAGATAGTTTAGCGAACATCAAGGGTGACCATGTTAGAAAAAAAAAGTGGAAGAACGATTGGAGTGAGAGAAAAAATAATAAGACACAGAGCAACACGGTTTCCAATAGGAAAATGCACCTGTGTCCTTCAACGGTCAGTGAAACAGATGTGATGCTGATGTTTACCTTGAAGGATGTCCCTCGTAGACCTCGCAGGGAACATTGGCATGATTCTTATCATCAAAAACACTTACAGGTCAAAAAGACTTCCTCTTACACAATACACTTCCACAACAAAAAATTTCATAACCAATAAAATTTCATAACAGTAGAAATTACTGCTGAGCTCATTGAGACCCTTCTTATTAAATCTCCCTTGGAATTGTTGTGCCATCTAGTTTTTCCAACACTGTCCTCCTTCACAAGATTAATGAGACACTAACAATTTGTGTTAAAACAACATATGTTAAGCTTTAGTTATGATTAGACAAAATAAAAATGTTAAAGTTTTCAGCTAATGCCTTCATCAATACAACAAAAAACATGAATATAATTATAAATTAAATGTACATAATAAATATATATCCCACATGTCCCCCAAAAAAATGAAAGAGAAGAAAGGAATGAGAATGTGCACAAGTGCCTCATGAAAGCGAAAATCAGAAGAACGGAAAGCTTCACAATCACTTAATCACTTTCATATGAGGGGAAATAATGGTCAACTGAATAATTCTTCCTTTACGAAGAGACCCGTTTGGAACAACAACTGCCCACTATACCTTTGTTTTTCATGACCTAGAACACATGGCGGCAGGAGTTTTGTATCTTTGACAAGCGTAAGGCGGGTTTACGATGCAAGAGTTTCAGTTGTTACTTTTGGGGGCATGATGCGTTAATAGGAGGCAAGGAGCCTTCTTCTGAGTGAGCTAGATTTTCTTCCCTAGGGGAGTATCATGAAGCGAGGCATGTGGCAATACTGGCTGGCCGGCCTTGAGGTGCTTCCAGTCTTACCAATATCCTAGAGTTGAATATTGTTCAAACCCATCAGCTTCTCTTGGTCTAAGGTATTGGTAGAATACGATTATGGTTCTCAAACTGTTCAAAATTACAGCTCACATTCAGGAATTCAACATTTATTCATACCACAGGATTATTTAATGATAGTCTTGCACGGACTCATTTTCAGGAACAATGGAAAAGTTCTTGGTCTTGTAAAGGATTTTCAAGACTGAAAAAAATATGTAGGATGAATGAAATTTTTTTTTTTTTTAAATGTCCATTTATTTGGATCAATAAAAATATCTTACCTTATCCTAACTTGTTGCATATTTTGAAAGGCTGAAAATCGATAGAAATTGTGAATGAATTAGATATCACATTTATCAACATCAACTGCTATCATTTTGGAATGGAAACATAAAGGCAACATCTATTGATTTGGTATATATCACAAAATGAAATGCAAATATGGTTGATCTGTTTACACAAATTTAAATGCACAACTTATTATATTAGGGTTAGACTGCAAAAAGGCATAAAAAATTAAAAACCATTATCTATTTACATTTAACAATTATAATGAGAATTTTATAAAATGAGGCACAATAAAAAGGTAAAGAAAAAACGTTTGCTTCACCCGCTGCATAAGTGAAACAGCTACAAAGGACCTAAGTTAATTAAAATAAATCCATTTATTCACCCCTCGTAGCCTACTGGTGCTTCAAGCAACATGTTAAAGAACTTCTGTCTGCTGTTGTGAAATTTGGGTCAAGTTCCCATCCTGTTGATCCTTTACTATTGTTCTGCAAACAGATTTCCTTTGGATCTTCCACAGTTTTTGTTTTCCCATGTGCTGTGCTGTGCTGGAAAGTGAGCTGGGTGGCATTATATAACCATGACCAAGCCACCCCCCCCCTTTTTCCTCAATAGCATGCTTGAGCCGCTTCTGCAGTTGTTCCTGATGGGCATCTTAGTTTTTTATTTGAGATTGTCTTTTACTGTAAGATTCTATGCACTTGGTGTGTTAGTGGTCTGCCAACACTTTGGTCTACCGAGGACAACACTAAAGGACAAACTTCAATAGATTCTGGTCTTTCTCTGGATGCCCAGGCTGCTTAATCTCCTTCAGGGTGCCAGCATTTCATTGCCCGTTTGCTTTACTTGTGGTAGCATTGATTTCATTTCCGCGGCGGTCATACCTCCCGTATGACCGTGTTCAATACCTCCACTGTGTCAAATCAACCTGGTGAGCAGATGTTTACAGACATTTCACACGTCTTCCTGCACTTTACTGTGTTTTTATTTAAAGGCCTAATTTAGTTGCAGTTCAACAAGTCATCTTGTGGGCATCTAGCCGGACGGCAATCCTATTTAATCGGCATGGTCGCGGTCCTCAACCAGCTTCACCGTCCATTGTATTCCTTGCAGCCATGGCCGTGCCATGGGGGGCACCCACCCAGATCGCCGTCTTCAGAAGGGGCCTGAATGGGAATTTTTGAATGCAAACTATTAATATACATACTTTTTGGTGAATTCAGGCTTTGTCCCGCTGTAAATTTTTTTCATTGCCCTGCTTGCATATTCCTTGTGTGGGTTGTCGCAATGGTCAAGCGAGAAGAGAACCTCACCCTTGATTCACGGCAGACTCGGCTTTTGAGAGATTCATTCAGGTGGCTATAGTTTAGTTGTGTGATTGGACAATACTGCAGTTGGGAATGTGTAAAGAAAGTCGTAGCGGCAGTGCATCTTCCAAATTTTCCAGTGAATCTCTGTATACCATGTCTATGTCGTAGGCTTTCTCAAAGTAAGCAACCGCCACAGTGTACAGGGAAAGCAATATTCTATTCATTTTACTCTATGCACGTTCTATTTTGGTATCACCATTGATTTAATGAGTTATTCAATTAAGATATGGTTGGGGGGGGGGGTATGTAAACCCGGATATGTGAGCTGTAGAAGCAGGGATTTAGGGGGAACAACTGTAAGAGAGAAAAAAACGAGGGTGGGGGTTTGTTTTTTTTTTTGTTTTTTTTTTTTTTTGTTTTTTTTTTTTGGGGGGGTGTTGGTTTAAAGTTCAATTATATTGCTTTGATCATTTTACTTTAGGTTTTTTTTTGTTTTTCCAACCTATAAGTGAGACAACACCATTATTGCCCACAGAGCATGTTCTGCTTCGTCACTCGGGAAAATGCGTCTCAAGATGTAATCATTCCGTCACGTGACAGAATCAATACCGGCGCAGACGGCATTCACGTGACCCAGTGAGCGTTAATTTTCGTGGCGTGATACCCCCCCCCCACCACATCTCTTAAATAAGCCACGGTGACTCTTCGAGTCATAACACCGTCTCGGCATGACGCAATCATCACTTTCATTGGATATCATAATAGAATGGTTGGTTGGATGTTTGGTGTAGCAGAGGCAGGGAAAGTATTGCCCCCTCCCATTCCCCAACCCGGTCAACCCCACCCTCCCATTCCCCAACCCGAACAACCCCACCTGGGCTCTTCACTCTCCTCCTCATCTCCCTTACCATATGCCTTTTTTTCAACCATACCCGCCTAGATGTCACCCCTTTCTCTCACCTCCACAAGTCGTATCCTGTATCCCCCACACATTTTCCCTACCCTCTCACTCTTCCCTCCGTCTTCCACCTCCCCCTTTAATTATTTACAAATTGCCTCAAGCAACCAGCTGAATTGTTTAAAACTATGTTTCGTTTCGCTGTCGAGGTTGATAACTGTTTGTTTTTAATCCTTTATATTCACTTGGCTTTCCTTGGTTTTTTGTTTTTTTGTTGTTTTTTTTACTAGCTGGGTGGCAAAATCGTCGATCGGCTAACTGACCCGCTTCCCGTCATCTTTCCCCTACCCTGCCATCCCTTTCCCAAACACCACCCCAACCCCCCACACCACCCAACACCGAAAGATAGATTAAATCAACTCTCATTCCATGGTAATAGTTACAAGAAGAAAAAAATATTTTTTTTTTTAAATAAAAATTTTAATTTAAAATTGGCCATTTTGATGTAGGTTGAAAATGTCCTACTGCTCTGGTGTCATTGAAAATGTCCTACTTCTCTGGTGTCATTGAAAATGTCTTACTTTTTTATGTAGTTTAAAAAACGTCTTTCTTCTGAGTCGTAACTGAAAATTTCTCTGGCGAAATCGAGTCAAATTCTTATAAGCTTGACACTAGTCAACCCAAGGTTTGTCCTTTACATGTCAACGGATACATCTATGTTACATACATCCCCGGGGCTATCGTACCACGCTAGGCTGTTTTTTCTGAAATAGTTGGTGAAATTATTCTACCGAGTAAATCGGGTTTTTACTGTTAGCAAACAGTATCCGAGTCGGCTGTCTGATTTTTTATGTTTTTTTTATATCAAAACCTGGAAATTTTTTATATCGAAATGTAAAAATCAAAAAACAAAAAAAAAAACAACACACAACTAGTTCTTAGCGTGGTAACGGCATAAGAAGTGAACCCGCCCGACAGACCCAGAGGCTTTGGCCCATCTGCACCCAGTCCACCACGCGGCGACCGCAGACAGGTGTCGTCGTGACTCCCCCGCGTTGTCAGTCGATTTTTGCAATGCTTAAGATTTTGACTTTTTCTTTTAAAGATTTTATGTGAATTTACAAGATATATATATATATATATATATATATATATATATATATATATATATATATATATATATATATATATATATAAAAATATATATATATATATATAAAAAACACAGTCTGCGTATAGTTATATA